CACAGGCAGGGCAGGGCGGGCACCGTCACCGTTCTAGCCTTGCTGTTGGCCCTGGCAGGCTCTGGGATCCTGCCCCGAGGCACTGGGATCCTGCACTGTGTCCTGGGGGGCACTGGGATCCTGCCCTGTCCTCACAGGGTCCCCACAGTGTCACCCAGGGCCCTGTCCCCCTGTCCCGTGTGTCCCGCAGATCTTCACTCGCCTGGGGAAGTGCTACACGTTCAACCCGGGGGGGCCGGGGCGCGAGGTCCTGACCACGCTGCAGGGGGGCTCCGGAAACGGCCTCGAGCTCATGCTCAACGTGCAGCAGGAGGAATATCTGCCTGTCTGGGGGGACACAGGTGAGACCCCTGCCCGTCTGGGGACACAGGGGAGCACCTCTGTGCGGCACCTGACCCCCAGCCCCTGCCCTGCAGACGAGACGTCCTTCGAGGTGGGGGTGAAGGTGCAGATCCACAGCCAGGAGGAGCCGCCCTTCATTGACCAACTGGGCTTTGGTGTCGCCCCCGGCTTCCAGACCTTCGTCTCCTGCCAGCAGCAGCGGGTATCCGGACACGGCGCCCGGGGCTGTGACCCCTGAGGGATCACAGGATGGACCCCTAGAGGGCTTGGGATGGGCCCCCAAAGGGCTTGAGACAGCCTGGTGTGGACACACTGGGACACCCCGAGCCATAGGGACATCCTGAACCCTGCTGTGGGTGCCACAGCCGTCCCTGCAGGGACATCCCGTGCCAAGCTATGCTGTGGGTGCCACAGCCATCCCTGCAGGGACATCCTGAACCCTGCCGTGGGTGCCACAGCCGTCCCTGCAGGGACATCCCATGCCAAGCTATGCTGTGGGTGCCACAGCCATCCCTGCAGGGACATCCCATGCCAAGCTATGCTGTGGGTGCCACAGCCATCCCTGCAGGGACATCCCATGCCAAGCTATGCTGTGGGTGCCACAGCCGTCCCTGCAGGGACATCCCGTGCTGAGCTGTGCCGTGGGTACGGTGCCACCACGCTGGCCAGGAGCAGCACACGGTGTGGGGCAGCCCCACATGGGGACCATGAGGCTTCTCCACAGGCTCCAGCTCCAGCAGCGACCCCCTGGCTCCCGTGGAACAGCCGCCAGGGGGGTGGCAGCACCCGGCCCCCGCAGCCAGACACCTAAATTTAGGTGCCTTGGGTGGGTGTCACCACGTGTGCTGGCGCGCGTGGCACAGGCGGCAGGAGCACGGCGGCAGCAGGAGCGTGGCCCTGGCACCCACGGGTGGGGGTGCTGGGTCCCTCACCAGGCCCAATCCCTGCATGGCTGGCTCCTGTGTGCTCCCAGGTGCCACGTGCCAGCCCTCGCTGGCTCCTTCCCTTCCACTGTGGCACCCGGTGCAGGTGACACTGCCTGCGACACCTGTCCTGCGCCTGGCTGGGAGGGACAGGGTGGGATGGGGACACCAGGGGTGCAGGACCAGGACCCCCCAGCACTCACTGGCTGCACAGTGAACACCGAGGGGAACATGGGGGTCTGTGCTGACCCCCTACCTGGCACGTCTGGCTCCCGTGTGCTCCCAATTGCCAGGTGCCACCCTCGCTGTGGCACGTGGTAGAGGTGACACTGCGTGCAACACCCATCCCCAAGACCAGAAAGGACGGGACGGGGCAGGAGGGGGGACTCTGGGGCAGTAGGACCTCCCAGCACTGGCTGTGCAGGATAAGCTCTTCCTGTGGTGGGCTGGGAGGTGGCAGCGTGGCCAGGGACGGCAGCAGGGACTACCCCAGCGGTGACAGTGGGAACCCCGGGACACCGTGTTTTCCTTAGCGGGCGCCGGCAGCTCGTGTACCTGCCCCCCCCGTGGGGGGACTGCAAGGCCACCCCCATCGAGTCCGACTTCTTCACCAACTACAGCCTGACCGCGTGCCGCCTGGACTGCGAGACGCGCTACCTGGCCGAGAACTGCAACTGCCGCATGGTGCACATGCCGGGTGAGCGGGGGGGCGGCCGGGGGGCTGCGGTGGCTGCCGGGACGCCCCCCCGCCCCTGCGACCGCCGCCTCCCCCGCAGGCAACGCCAACGTCTGCACCCCAGAGCAGTACAAGGAATGTGCTGACCCCGCGCTGGGTATGTACCGCCGGTCCCCCGACGTCCCCGGGCACCCCTGGGACCCCTCCCCTTCACTGGGCCCCTATTGCCGCGAGTGTGGCTCTGGTGTCCCTGTGCCCTCTGTGCCCCCATCGCTGCAGCCGTGTCTCCAGTGTCTCTGTGCCCTCACCAGGGTGGGGGTCACCACTGTCCCCAGACACGCGGGGCCGGGTTCCCCCCACGTGCCACCGATTCTGTCCCCGAGTGTCCCCCCCCCGGGCAGGGATCCTGGGGCTCCCTGTCCCACCCGTGCCCCCCCAGACTTCCTGGTGACGAAGGACAGCGAGTACTGTGCGTGCCGCACACCCTGTGCCATGGTGCGCTACGGCAAAGAGCTCTCCATGGTGAAGATCCCCAGCAAGGCCTCGGCCAAGTACCTGGCCAAGAAGTTCAACAAGACAGAGCAGTACATCGCGTGAGTGACACCGCCACCCCTGCCACCGCTGGTGCCACTACCATGTCACCCTCTGCCCCGCCAGCACGCCGTGTGGCACAGCGTGGCGGTGTGATGTGGCACAGCCACACGGCATCCCCAGCATGTGAACTGGTGTGACAGTGTGCCACAGCACACAGCATGAACCAGCACGGTGTGATACGACATCGCCGGGAGCCATGAACTGGCACAGCCCAGAGCAACGTGTGACACAGCATGGCCGCAGGGTGTCCCCAGCACACAGGAGCTGGCATCCCCAGCACATGTGCGCTGGCCCGGCACGATGTGACGATGTGCTAAGGCACAGTATGGCCACACGGTGTTCCCCAGCATCCGTGCACTGCTGTGACATGGCACAGCCACACGGCATCCCCAGCATGTGCAAGCTGGCACGGCACAGTGTGACGGTGGGACACAGCATGGCACAGCCACATGGCATCACCAGAATCCTGGAACTGGCCCAGCACAGCACAGTGTGATGGTGTGACAAGGCATGGCCACACGTCACCAGCGCACATGAACTGGCCCAGCACAGTGTACCCTGTGCAAATATGCCCCAGCAAAGGGAAAGCATGTGGCACTGCATGGCACAGCACAACATGGCATGGCACAGATGGCACCACATGGCATGATGCTACATGGCACAGCCCAGTATGGTCCAGCATGGCACGGGGCCCCAGAATACCGCCCAGCACATCCTTGTGCCCCCCAGCACCAGGCAGACCCCTCTGCCCATTCCCCTGCATCCCATGGCACAGTCCAGCCCCCCCGGTACAGCCCCCCAGCCCCCTGTGCCTGACACTGTCCCCTCGTCCCGTGTCCCCCAGGGACAATGTGCTGGTCCTAGACATCTTCTTTGAGGCGCTGAACTACGAGATGATTGAGCAGAAGAAGGCGTACGAGGTGGCAGGGCTGCTGGGTGAGGGTCGGGGGGGCCGGGGGAGGGCCGGGGGGGGCCCGGAGGGGCTCCGAGGGGTGTGTTCTCTGACACCGCCCCCCGCCCAGGTGACATCGGGGGGCAGATGGGGCTCTTCATCGGCGCCAGCCTCCTCACCATCCTGGAGATCTTTGATTACCTGTACGAGGTGAGGCCCCCCGATACCCCCAACAGCTCCCCCGCCCGGGGGGTCTCGGGGACGGGGCCTTTCACCTGCGCCCCCCCAGGTGTTCCGGGACAAACTCCTGAGCCTGTACAAGGAGAAGAAGCGAAGCCCCCGCAGCGACAGCGGCACCCTGGTAACTTCCCGCGCCTCCCGCCACCAGCCCCCAGCCGGGGGGTCGCATCTCATCCCCCTTCCCCGGCTCACCGCTCTCTCGTCCCTCTGTGTGCCCATCCAGGAGCACCCGGCGGTCCCGGGCAGCCCCGTGGCCCCGCGCCCACCCAGGTACACGCGGGGGGCACCCGGAGCCCCCCGGGGTCGGGGGGCCATTCCCTGCAGAACTCCCATTCCCTGCGGACCCCGCCCCCCATTCCCTGCAGATCCCCCCATTCCACACAGACTCCTCCCATCCCCCTACAGACCCCTCATCCTCTGCAGATCCCCCATCCCCTGCAGATCCCCCCATCCCACGTGGACCCCTGTGTTCCCTGCAGATCCCTGATTCCCTGCAGACACCCTCAAACCCTGCATACGCCTCATCCCCCGTCTTCATCATGGTCTCCAGCACCCTGTCCCGAGGTCCCCCGCCACCCCCAGAGCCCCCCCAGCCAGGCTGGGACCCCCCAACCTCCCCTCCGGGACGCGGTGGGGTAGAGGGGAGGGCACTGCTTGGGGATGGGGGCTGCACAGCGGCTGCGTGGTGGACCCCCAAAGCTGGGAGGCTCCCCGGGCATCCCGGGGGGCACATGGGGTGGGGGCCAGGGGCTGAGCCCCACAGCAGGTCAGGACACAAGGGGAGGGAGATGGCAGGGGGAAACCGATCCCCCCACCCCTCCTAACCCTCCGACCCCCCCACAGAGCGCCCGGTCCTCCCTGCGTGGCCCCACGCCCCGTCTCGGCGTCGCCCCGAACCTGCTACCTCGTCACCCGGCTCTAGGGCCCCCCCGGGACCCGTCGCGGAGCCCAGCCCGCCCTCCCGCCGGCCGGGGGGCCGGGGGGGCACCGCCGGGCCACAGGGCAGCCTCCTGTTCCCCCCCGCCCCCTGAGGGGGTGTCGGGGGGCTGGGGGCGAGGGGCTCCCCCAGCCCCGCTCCCGTGACCCTGCATGCGCTGCCTGTGCCCCCCCCGCGCTGGACATGCGACCCCCCCCACTGCAGCCTCCCCAAATAAAGAGGTGCCCCAGGCCCCGGCTCCGGCTGCTGGGGGTCAGAGGGACACGGCTGCTCCAGAAGCAGAGAGCAGCACTGGGGAGGTCACAGGGGAGGGCTGAGGGGCAGGGGTCGGTGAGAGGGGGGTCCATTATGTGCAGAGGGGGGTCCCTTGACACCCCAGGAAGGAGAAGGCGGCACTGGGCAGGGGGGAAGCTCTTTATGGGGTTCCAAACACACATCACCCACGTACGGCAGTGCCCTAGAAAAGAAACGGGGTCCTCTCCTGACCCCCCCCAGGGGGGCTGTGCCCAGATTTCCCCCCAGGAAGGGAAGCGGCGGGAGGGGAAGCAGACGCAAGAGGAGTGGGGGTCCCACCACCCGCAGGGTCCCCATGCCTGGTCCCAGAGGGTCCTGTGCCTCTACCAGCTTCGTGGCCCCATGTCCTCAGGAGGGTCTCATGCCCTGGAGGGGTCCCCTGCCCCCAGGGGGGTCCTGTGCCCCCAAGGGGAATCTGAGTGCCCTCAGCCCTCCCAGGGCTAGGGGGTCCAGGGGCCCTGTGCCAGCCCCCTGCAGCTGGGGCAGAACCTAATAAATACTGGGGGGGGGGGAGGGCTGCAGTTTAGGGGGGCTGGCACAGGCTGGGGACTGCCCACCCTGCAAGGGGGAGGGAGCCAGGGAGGGTTGGGGGGCCCTAGGGTGGGCAGAAGTCAGTGAAGTAGGGGTGCTGCAGGGCCTCCTCCGCCGAGATCCGCTGCACCGGGTTGCACTTGAGCAGGTTCTGGGGGACATGGTGGGGCTGAGGGAGGAGAGCACGGACAACCCCCCATCCCACAGCCTCCCAACTCCACTGTCCCCCTCAGATGGGTGGGGGGCTGTGAGGGGAGGGGGCAGCCACCCCCGGGGAGCCAGAGCCCCCGTGGCACAGGCAGGGGGACAGGGAGGGGGGACAGAGGTTGGAGGGGGGCACAGGTGGGGTCTCACCTGCAGCAGGTCCCGGCCGGTCGCGTTCAGCTTGGGCACCACGTTGACCAGAGAGGTGGTGGCCGGGTACATGGGGTAGGGCTGGGGACACACAGGTGACCCACAGCCCCCCCGGTAACCCCTCCAGCTCCCCCCAGCCCCCTCCTCACCTTATAGTCTGGCAGCTTGGCCATGGCCGGCCACTGCTCCTCCGTGGGGGTCCCCAGCAGCGTGGGGATGGTCAAGGGCCACCGTGGGGACACCCGGCACCCGACCCCCTCAACCCCTGCCCATCCGAGACAGGTCCCCATGCCCAGGGGTCTCCATTCCCACAAGGCTCCCCATTCCCAGGAGGTTCCCCATTCCCAACTGGGGTCCCTATTTCCAAGGGGGATTCCCAGAGGAGGTCCATTCCAGGGCTCCCCATTCCCAGAGCATCCCATTCCCCCCATTCCCAAGGATATCGGAAGATCCTCTTCAGCTGGTCGTCCACGTCGTTCCCCGGGAAGAGGGGCCGCCCCGCGTTGGCCAGTTCTGGGGAGACAAAGGGTGGGTCCCGGGGCTCCTGCAGCCCCCCAGGCCCCCCAGGGCCCCCCAACACACCTGCAAAGATGCACCCAGCTGACCACATGTCGATGGAGGTGGAGTAGAGCTTGGCACCGAAGAGGACATCGGGGGGCCGGTACCACAGAGTGACCACCTGGCAGGGACAGGACCCTCAGACAGGGACAGAGACACCAAGAGCACGGGGCAGCCAGCACCCCGAGCCCCTGGAGCCCCCCGAGCCCCCCTCACCTCAGCTGAGTAGCAGCGCACTGGGATGCCAAAGGCCCGGGCCAGCCCAAAATCCGCCAGCTTGAGCTCCCCATTCTGGAGGAGCAGGGGGGTCAGTGTGGGGGGCCCCACCTGTGCCAACTATACCCCAAAGGGGTGTTGTTCTGGTGCCCCCCACACCCCAGGGCAGGCAGTGGCCACTGCTTTGGTCACATCACCCTTTCCCATCACCGGGAACACAGGAGAGATGGAGCTGCACCCACGGTCAGACAGGCTCCAGGTGTGACCCCCCCAGAGAGACAGACAGACAGACAGCCCCCAGGTGTGACCTCCCCAGATAGCCAGACAGCCCCCAGCTCCCAGGTGTGACCCCCAGACAGACAGACAGACAGACAGACAGACCCCAGCTCCCAGGTGTGACCCCTCAGACAGACAGACAGACAGACAGCCCCAGCTCCCAGGTGTGACCCCTCAGACAGACAGACAGACAGACAGTCCCCAGCTCCCAGGTGTGACCCCCAGACAGAGGACCCCCACGCCCCACCCTGTTGATGAGCAGGTTCTGGGGTTTCAGGTCCCGGTGCAGGACGTTGCGGCTGTGGCAGAAGGCAAGGCCCTTCAGCAGCTGGTACATGAATGACTGTGGGGGACACAGGGGGTTTGTCAGCCCCCCACACTGTGGCCCCCTGTGGGGCCAGGCTGGGACCCTGGGGACTCCCTGGGACCCCCAGACCCACCTTGACGATCTCAGGGTCCAGGTCCCCATTGCAGCTGTCAAAATATTTCTTCAGGTCCTGGGGAGGGAGTGAGGAGAGGCCGTGTTGGGGGCGGCCAGGAGTGGTGACCCCGGGAACCCCTAGGGATCCTCAGGATCCCCCCGTGCCCCTGATGCTCACTCACCTGGTCACAGAACTCGAAGACCAGGGTCAGCTTCTTGTCGCTGTGCAGGACGTCGTGGAGCCTGCGGGGGGGGTGATCCCTGAGCCCTCCAGTGCCCAGCCCGGCCCGGGGCATCTCGCATGGCAGTCCCTGAGCCTCCCCCTGCCCTGTCCAAGGCACCCGGGGGGGGCAGCCCCCTCCCACCTCGCCCCACAGCTCCCCCCCACCCCGGCCTGGGCCAGCCCCAGGGAGCAGCCCCCGTGCCGTGATTCCACAGCCCCCAGGACCCCACAGCCCCCGTGACCCCACAGCCCCCGTGCCGTGATTCCACAGCCCCCAGGACCCCACAGCCCCCGTGCC